CAAGTGTAAGTTTTCTATTAAGAACGAAATCTATCCCACATTCATTTGGATGATACAAGTGTAAGTTTTCTATTAAGAACGAAATTTATCCCACATTCATTGGGATGATACAAGTGTAAGTTTTCTATTAAGAACGAAATCTATCCCACATTCGTTGGGATGATACAAGTTTAAGTTTTCTATTAAGAACGAAATCAATCCCACATTCGTTGGGATGATACAAGTGTAAGTTTTCTATTAAGAACGAAATCTATCCCACATTCATTGGGATGATACAAGTGTAAGTTTTCTATTAAGAACGAAATCTATCCCACATTCATTGGGATGATACAAGTGTAAGTTTTCTATTAAGAAAGAAATCTATCCCACATTCGTTGGGATGATACAAGTTTAAGTTTTCTATTAAGAACGAAATCTATCCCACATTCGTTGGGATGATACAAGTTTAAGTTTTCTATTAAGAACGAAATCTATCCCACATTCATTGATGGGATGATACAAGTTTAAGTTTTCTATTAAGAACGAAATCTATCCCACATTCATTGGGATGATACACACGCTTTTACGCTAGTGCCGTGGTGACGTGCCCACCACCTTAAGCTCTGAGCTATAGCTCCGCTTCGAACGCAAGCTTCATATCGCGGCACACGAGTGTGTCCCGGCACACCGGCTGTGGAGCCCTGTTCTAACGTATGCTTGCACGCCTTATATATAATGAGCTGGTGCTAGCAATTCGAACCGCTACATATGTAATGATAGTGTAATGATGGTGTAATGATGGTGTAATGGAGGATAGGAAAATATGATGAGTATTTGCTTTTAGGATTTTTCACCAGGACAGACATATGTTAACATAAAATACCAATGGTATCTTAGAACTTAAAAGTGATCAATAAAATATCAATAAAATGTAAAACAAATTACTAGTTACCTAAACTACATTAGTTGATAAACTGAAACATTCGCATTGTAGCTTAAACCTTATCTCAATCACAAACTAAACATAGTAATGTTACCTTTAAAACTTTGCGAGGCTAGCTCAGCCCATGCATAAACACGACCGCCTAACACCAACACAGGGTCTCATCCAATTGCAGATTGTTGCCTGGGACCCGGGCAGATATGGGGGCGTGGCTGTCATCCACCCAGTACCGGAACAAATCTGGAGACCCCGGGTTGTCCTCGTCAACACACTGGGGGACAGGGATCTCTTTGGTGACGACAAGGCGTGAGTTCAAATCCTCCACTATCAATAGAGCTGTACAAAATGGTGACGTCATTTGCAAGCCAAACTTTTTTGGCGCTAAAAATAGTTAATCCAGCCTGGTTATGCCTGCGAGGTTAAGTGTACACTATGGTTAAGTGTACACTATGGTTAAGTGTACACTATGGTTAAGTGTACACTATGGTTAAGTCTACACTGTGGTTAAGTCTACACTATGGTTAAGTCTACACTGTGGTTAAGTCTACATTGTGGTTAAGTCTACACTGTGGTTAAGTCTACACTGTGGTTAAGTCTACACTATGGTTAAGTCTACACTATGGTTAAGTCTACACTATGGTTAAGTCTACACTATGGTTAAGTCTACACAATGTCTAAGTCTCCGTGGTTTTTCCAACTATTACACACATGTATTTGTTTTATAACACATTGATCTGGCTGCTTTAATTTTTGGGGCATGTAACGTCACTGCAATTCAATAACTGTAGTTAATTACTATAAGTTTCTTAATTGAATGTGTAGTAGATTGATTGTAGTAGCCTGGCTGTGAAGTAGCCTGGCTGTGAAGTAGCCTGACAGTCTAGTTGCCTGGCTGTACAGCAGCCTGGCTGTGTTATAAATCTGACTATGTAGTAGCTTGACTCAATCATAACATAGAACGACACACTAAAGTTTTTGGTACACATGGTCCATATATATATATATTCATGTTTTAATATATTTATATCCATGGTTTAGTATGATACCAGTGAGCCAAACAGTTGTTTTCAGTGGTTCTAGGATGAGACATATTGTTGTGGTCAGGTTATAGTCGCCTCTGTCGATCATTTTATTGTTAAAAGTAATATTAGAATTCTGATTGAAGAATTAGCTCCCCCCCCTTACACAAATA